GATTAGTTTCTACGACCACATAATAGATGTCCATCTACATATGAACCCACCTCTCTCTCTCTCTCTCTATATATATATATATATATATATATATATATATATATATATATATATATATATATAGGGTTAGGTTATAGTGTTTTAGGTAACTATTGTGTGCATGTAAGGAGAATTTTGGACCAATAGATGAAAATAATGAATGATTATGATTTTGAGGGTCTATGATATTACAATTGAATATCATGTACCATAATATCACTCAAAATTAATTAAAAGAATATTTTAGACAATTAACTATATTTAAAAAAGGAAATTTTCGAATTTGAAGGGACAATTCTGATTTTTTAAAAAAAAAAATTAATTCAATATCAATTCTAATTTAATTTCTAATCATAACCGATTATAACTTATTTTATTCTGTTAAAATGCGATTCTATTAGAATGAAATTCTGTTAGAAGGACATTCTGTTAGAATAACAGTTTATGACATCCTTTAAGAATATATAAATAAGAAGAAAACATTAATAAGTACATTATGAAACAATATACAAAATCGATTCTTGAACTAATTGTTGGATTAGGTGTCTAAACCCATAACTATTTTGGTATGTACTTGACCCGATTGTGAGCATGGTCCTTTTGGGTTGACTTCACCATAGCAACTAATAGGATGAATTAAGGAGAAAGAGGATTAATTATGATTTATTAATATATTATATGAATAATATATTAAAAGAGAAATCATATTGTTTAATTAATATTAGTCAAGAATTAATAAGAATTAATTTTGTGGCTAAAATAGATTAATTAAACTTGGGGGACTGATATTGTAATTATAAGATAGTTGCATAAATGGGCTAATGGAATCCATAGAAGTTGGAGTGGATGAAATCTATAGGGAAACCCATTAGAATTCGTCAAAGGCTTCTAAAGAGGGAGTCCATGGGCTGCTTAGGGCCTAAGCAGTCAGATTAGGGTTTCCTGGTTGAAAACCCTAATAGCCTAACTATATAAGGAACCCCTAAGGCCCCAAAAACGTGGCTAAGTGATCCCTGAGGGTTCTTGGACGGTTTTTGTGCCTTCTCCTACTTCTCCTTGTTCATCTTGTTGCTCATGGTGTTTGTGACTCCATTAGAGGTGCAACATTTGAGGCACTAAGCTTTCAAAGGTCAATATCAATAGGAATTGAGATTGTTATTTCTACATAACAATCAAGGTAAGACCTAAAACCTTTTATTATGATAATATCGATTATTATCTGCTAGATCTAGGGTTTATGAGCTTTGGATGATTATTGCATGTTCATTAGATAAACTAGATCCAAATCTTTAAGGTTTGCATGTACACCATAGGAATGATGTAGTGCTCAAAACCCATCAGTAATAATTTATCGAATAACTATATTCTATGATTGTGATACAAAAAAGAACATTCTTGAATAATAAAAACATTCTGAAAGAATAACAAGTGTAATTCTTAAAAAACAAAAAACATTCTTAAACTGTGAGTATGATCAATCTTTGATTCATTCTTCTCGTCATTCCTATAAGGTCTTCAAGCCATTCATATCACAAATGCAACAAAAACATCAAAATCCAACAAAAAACACTAATTCATTATGAAAGAATAATGTTGCTAAGATTCATTTTATACATTCTGGCAGAATACATTCTACTATAAAACACTCTTGTTCTCCATATTTTCTTTCTTTTCCACATGAATGACAAACTCTTCAAAACCTAAAAAAAAAAAACCCATTAAAATCTTAAAAAAAACACTAATCCATTCTAAAATAATATTATTGAGAAGATTTGTTTTATAAATTTTGGCTGAATATATAAATAAATTCTGACAGAATACACATAAATCCATTCACACCTCATACTCAACTTTCACATCATAATAGACTAATTTCTTCTAAAAAACAACACCAATTGGGTTTTTTTATACATTGCAAGAGAGAAAAAGTAAAAAACAAACACTAATGGTATCCTACTGAGAATTACAAGTTTAATAATGCATAGATTCTTCAAAATCTTGATATATATTCTGGTAGAATACATAGAATATGGCATAATACATGGGTGTGTTACCAGTTAAGCAAATATACTTTCATTCCGGATCCGGAATTTCCACCGCAGAACCTTCAATCATCCCTCAATATCGCCGTGGGTATGAACCACGATAATCCTATCATCCATCAGACCACTCCTACATTCCCTATCTCAGTCGGTCCTGCCCTAAATTCGATTCCTGGGTTGGCGCCTCCATTTGGGGTTCCAGAAATTGAAGCTATAGTAGTTGTGGGAGCCATAATTGGTTTCGATATTCGGCCAGACAACCCGGTGCTGGTCGAAGTCCTCAGTGGCAACGGTGAGCGTGCAGGTCACCAATGAATTTCTTGTCGCTAAGTATTAGGGGTGTGGGGGGGGGGGGATCATAAGGTCTCCTGGATTCGCAGACTAGGGTCGGTACACAACTTATCTTTCATAGCTATACAGGAAACTCAAATACTAGATGCTGAGCATATTGATGTCGCTGCTTGTTGGGGCTCGAGTGAGGTTGGTATTAGTCGTATCAATTCTTCTGGCAGGTCTAGGGGGCTTCTGAACTTATGGGATGCAAGACTATTCAAATCAACAGAGATTATTTCTTCAAGGCATTATCTGATTAATATTGGCAGTTGGGTGGGTGTTCAGAAGCCTGTCATTTTTGTTAATGTTTATGGACCACAACCGGTGGCGGATAAGGCTAGATTGTGGAAGGAATTAAAAGAAATAATTGAAACCAAGGATGGGGTGTGGGTCCTTATGGGGGACTTTAATGCTGTTCGTAGACCTGAGGAGAGGTTTAAATCTGTTTTTTGTCGAAGAACTGCCCGTGATTTCAATGAGTTTATTAGGGACTCAGGGTTGATGGAGCCAAAGATGGGAGGTTTTCGTTTCACATGTTTCAGGGATGCTGATGCAAAGCTAAGTAAGCTGGATCGCTTCCTTCACAACCCTTGTTTCCTTAACATTGCCTCTAATGCCACTGTCACAGCACTACCTAGAGAATTATCGGACCACTGTCCGATTCTTTTATCGAACAGTAGACGAAATTTTGGCCGACCTCCTTTTAAATTGTTCAGTTCGTGAATGCTTAGAGACGGATTTGAAAAGGCGTTCATCACTAGTTGGAATAACTTTGTTGGTTTTGGTACACCAGACCAATACCTAGCTGCCAAGCTAAAACATGTCAAGGAGGGTATTAAGGAATGGAGGGCTGCTGACCACCCAAAAGAAGAATCGGAACTGCGTAATCATAAACTTGTTGTTGAAAGATTAGATCATGAGGCCGAAAAGAGAAGCCTTACAGAAGTGGAGCTTGAGCAAAGGAGAGATAGCTTTAAGAAGGTGGCGGAACTAGAGAAATTCAAGGCGTTAGATATCAAACAGAAATCACGAATCAAATGGGCGGTTGACGGTGACGAGAATAGTAGATTTTTTCATGGGTATGTGAACAGCAACAACAGGAAAAACGAGATTGATGGCATTATGATAAACGGGAACTGGTGTACTGATCTGGGTCTGATCAAGATGGAGGCTTTCAAATTTTTTGCTGAGAAATTTAAGGAGAGATGGCCTTCCAGACCTAAACTTGTAAGCAGAAATTTCAAGCAGATCCTTCCGACTGACAACGAGTTGCTTGAAGTCCCATTTACCCTCAAAGAAATAAAAGAAGCGGTCTGGGCTTGTGGAAATGAGAAGGCCCCGGGACCAGATGGTTTTTTGTTTAAATTCTTTAAAAAGTATTGGGATGTATTGTTAGGTGACATAGTTGCGGTGGTAAAACATTTCGAGAGGCACGGGAGGATCGATCAATCGTGTAATTCCTCTTTTATATCCCTAATCCCTAAAATCAAAGACCCGTCCTTACTCGGTGACTATCGCCCCATAAGTCTTATAGGCTCCATCTACAAAATCATTTCCAAGCTTCTAGCAAGCAGGCTCAAGATGGTGTTAGGTAATTGTATAGATGAAATACAATCTGCTTATGTGGAGGGGCGAAATATACTTGATGGCCCGCTTGTTGTCAATGAGGTGTGTTCGTGGGCTAAGGCGACGAAGAAGAAGGTGTTACTATTCAAGGCCGACTTTAACAAAGCATTTGATTATATTAATTGGGGGTTTTTGGATGCAAATATGAAATCGATGGGCTTTGGAGACATTTGGAGAGGATGGATTAAGGGGTGTCTTGCATCTGCAAAATCATCAATACTCATCAATGGTTGCCCGACGAATGAATTCCCCATCACAAAGGGTGTCCGACAGGGAGACCCGCTATCCCCATTTCTCTTCATCATTGCAATGGAGGGACTATCGGTATCCATGAGGGCAGCATGTGAACGTGGTGTTTTTAAAGGAATTAAAATTCCAAATGGAGGGTCGGTCATATCTCATCTTCTATACGCGGATGACGCGTTATTTCTTGGAGAATGGTCGGAGGATAACATCAAAAATCTGTCAAGAATTCTTGATTGCTTTCATGTTGCATCGGGCTTAAGGGTGAATTTCAACAAATCACGAGTCTTTGGAGTCGGTGTAAGTATGCAAGAGGTTACAAGACGTGCAAGACCTCTCGGGTGTGAACCGGAAAAATTACCCTTCAACTATTTGGGGGTACCCGTAGGGGCAAACATGAATCTTATTAAACATTGGAGTCCCGTTATTGACAGGTTTCATGCGAAACTCTCGAAATGGAAGTCCAAAACTCTCTCATTCGGGGGCCGGCTGACCTTGGTGCAATCGGTGTTGGGGAATTTGCCCACCTATTTTCTCTCTTTATTTGTTGCACCTCAAGGGGTGATTGATAAACTAGAAAGCATTAGAAGGCAGTTTCTGTGGGGAAGTACTGGTGATAAAAAGAAGATCCACTGGGTTTCTTGGGATACCGTTACTGCGTCCAAAGAGGCTGGGGGTCTTGGTGTGGGAACGATCAAATCTTTGAATATCTCCTTAATGGTTAAGTGGTGGTGGAGATTGAGGACTGGGGCATCAACAATTTGGGCTGCTGTCATTAATGGTATACATAATTTGAACTTAAAACTAGATGACTATTATGCTAATAATCGACTACCGGGTACTTGGAAAAATATTGCCGGGGTATGTAAAGAGCTGAGAAAAAAGAACATAGCCTCTGAAGATGTTTTATGTAAACGAACAAACTCTGCAGTTGAATCTTGGACTTGTAAGCTGACTTTGGATGGCATTTTTGCTGTCAATGCGCTACGAAAAATCTGGGATATGAGCTTACCTATTTCTGGGAGAAAATTCGAATGGATTCGTGAAGTTCCAATAAAGGTGGTTTGCTTTATATGGCGGGCGTGGCTGGGGAAAATTCCCACTAAGTTAGCACTAGTAAAACGTGGGGTTTCCGTGGGAGATATAAAATGTAGTCTTTGTGATAACTGGGAGGAAGATTCGGATCATGTTTTGGTTGGGTGTGAATATGCAAAAGAAGTACTGAGCTGGATCTTTAAATGGTGTAGTGTGACGATGCCCCCCAATCAGAACTGTGGTTGAGTTGCTGGATTTTGCCAACAATTGGTCGAATAATCCAAGTAAAAGGAGGTTGTTCTTGGGGATTTGTTATGGTGCTCTTTGGGGCATTTGGAAACAAAGGAATGACAGGGTGTTTAATGATTCCAAGATGCCCCCAGCCAAATGTGTTGATCTCATTCAGTCCACATTGTTTCTCTGGATGAAAAATAGGAAGGAAAACTCTAATATGGTGTTGTATAATTGGTATACTAATCCATTTTCATGCTTGTAATCTGTCAGTTTTAATACCTCTCCTTGTACTCATTCTGCAGCTTCTAGTTACTTGCTAGATGTCTGTTTGGTTATATATTTTATTTGCCAGTTCAAAAAAAAAACTAAAAACTAAAAGGTAGAATATCATGAAGTATTGATGCTAAAATTGAGATATTAGGGATTTTTAATTTCTCACCTTGAAACATGCTTGGATGGAAAAGATGTCAAACATGATTTAATTTAGAACGACTGTAATCCTTCTTTAATCGAGTCTTTGTGGGTTCAAGATGGAGGCCAACGAGTATGCAGTCGACGAGGGGAACAATTGTGTCTCTTTTTTTTCTTTTGCCGGTGGCTGTGGTCCTTTAGTGTTGTTTGACGGTTGTGGTGTTGGTGAACGCAGGCATCGACATACCCATTTCGAGGATGAATGATAACGTAGTGAACGATGCAGGGATTTAAATGCTATTAAAGGGAAATTGACCCATTATTTTAGGGATTTTAATTTTGGAATATAATTAATTGTACATACATAATAACTAAACTACCCTTTATTATTTAATTAATGATTTCTTTTTTTCTAATTTCTGATTGGTCAATTCATGCACACAATAATTATTAAAGTAAGGACCCATTTTTAAAGTGAGGACTCGTGAGGATACCTGAAAAAAATTGAAAAAAAAATCTAAAAAAAATACAAATCATAAAATCGAGCATAGATCTATGACCGGGAGAAAAAAATTAGAAAAAAAAATTGGATCATTAAAATTGAATCATGGATCATAATGATGCAAAAAAATAAATAAATTAGAATTGAATCAGGTTTAACGATGCAAATTTTTTTTCCAATCTTTTTTTCTCCATGACATAGATCTATGCTCGATTTTATGATTTGTATTTTTTTTAGATTTTTTTTAAATTTTTTTAAGGTGTCCTCACGAGTCAACACTTTAAAATGAGTCATCATAGGAACCGGACCCTATATATATATATATATATATATATATATATATATATATATATATATATATATATATATATATATAATTACTAATTTGTTACACTAATCCATATTCTCTATTTGTCATATGAAATCACAAGATATTCTTTATTTGTCATATGAAATCACAAGATACTTCTAACTTTTGTAAAAAATTAAAGATAAAATTTAGTATCAATAATAATAATAATAATAATAATAATAATAATAATAATAATAATAACAACTAGAACTAGAACAAGAACAACAACAACAACAACAACTACAATAATAACATTCAATATCATGTTGGTGATTTTAGTGTTATCCATATTTTAGTGTAGTTATAATTAATATTGAGATAGGCTAAGTTTTATTTATTCTATGAAACTGGAGATGCGGGGTGCACACTCGAAGTGATAAATGTGAACTCAGGATACGGGTGTCTGGGGGCAGTGCCCCTGGGTACGGGCTTCCAAGGGGCAACACACCTAGCAGGGTCCAAGGGCAGGGCCCCTAGCGGTGAATCCGATAATTACCTTTCAACCACCTAAACGATTTTTTTTTTATCATGAAAGGGTCCGAACATGCATTTCCCAGCCAAAAAGGTTTATGACATCATAATGTTGGTTGTGTCCAATAAGTACCTTTCAACTTCCTTCTATATAAGGAAGATGAAAATACAATTCAAAAATTACAATCTGATACACGAAAATGAGACACTTTGTATTTCTATATCTCGAAGAACACTCAACAAATAAGGTAATCTGTGTTTGCAAATGAGATTGGTCCTGAAATTTAATTTGATCTCTTGAATTATCTCATGAATCTGCATTCGTGTAACCCCAGAAATAAGGGCCGAATTAGAAATTTCAGAAAGAGATTTCCAAAACCACGATTCAAGAGATTATCCAAGTTTATATATTGTTGATTTGATTCCCTAAATTCTAACATATCATTATCATGATGAATGTATTACCGAAATGTGATATTCTTGATGAATGCATCACCGAAATGAATAATTTTATATAGAGTAATTTTTTTTTTAAAAAAAAAGATGTAGATTATAACTTTATACAGATATACGGTGCTTGAATGAAACTTCTAAAACAATTTATGTGTAAAGTAATAAGTATTGGTAACACCATTTTTTTGAACTAGTATTTTAGACTTTAAGTTCTATGTTACGGCGAAGAACTTGTTTGCAATTAATAAAAAAGAAAACTATAAAAAAATTATGTAAAAGACCAAAAATGTAACTTTAAAGTACCAAATAACTCTTTGCAATTTGTATAAATAATATAATTTACAAATATCAACAGTCCACATATATTACGGTGACAATTATACCATATCAAGTGACCACAAAAGTATCAGAATAAAGTTTCGGTCCAAACAACATAAAAGTTTATAACTTTTACATAAAATGAATATTAATAAAAGCAAAAACAATAAAAATAAATTTATGTAAGTGACTAAAAATGTAAGTTTAAAATATAATAAGGAGTAAAATCACAACTTATAAAATACCAACAATTTAACTTTAAAATTATAAAGGAAAAAACTGTTAGATAAAAAAAATTTAAAAAAATATAAATATAAAAATTTGGTATGAGCAAAGCCTAAATCTTTATTTCCAGAAAAATTTTATTTTTTATTTTTTATTACATTTTGGTATATAATTTGATTTGATTTGATTTTAGATGTTATATGGGAGTGTGACGGATATTGCAATTTAATATATATGTAATGTAAAGCATCTCTAATGGTTAACCTACCCTATCACTTAATATTTTTGCCAGATCATTAATCTAATACTTTTGACCTCTAATTAAATGGGCTCTCCAATGGTTAAGCTTTTTTCATAGCTTTTTTTATAAATTTAACTTATTGATCCTTATCTATCTAAAATGTTCATACAACCTCCTCATTTAATTAATAGTCTTTAAACATATTATAATTGAATAGGAAATATTTTAAATTAAGATTATCACTAAAAATTAGTATATAAACATTTAATAAATGAAAAACTATGGTAAAAATAATTAAATAGTTAAATAAATGAAAAACATTTAAAACTACAATATAATTAAGGGGATAAAAATAAAATATGTTAAAAATAGAAGGGGTTAGATGCTTAAAACTTTATATTATATTGACCACTCAAATATATATTGAGTGGTCAATATAAATACACAAAAATCAGTCAACTCCAATAATGTTAAATGAAAATAAGTGATGAATCAATAAAAAAAACTCTAAAATAAATCCGAGATGCTTAAATATTAATGACCCATGTTCAAAATGGACCCTTGATGGGATGTCAGCTTAAACACAAAACTTAGAATATAGGAAAATTAAGGGTATGGACGGCTTCAAATAAGTTAGGACGTTTGGGCCTAGATTTTTTTATATTATATATGTCTTATGTATGTTTCCTTTACGAAAGAATATTCTTCTTAATTTCTTCTTTTCTTTCTCTACAACATTTTCCGTTGCCATGTAATTAATTACAAAGAATTATTGAGCACCGCATTCTGCTGGCATCATCTTATATCTTGACGTATCTTTACAATATGAGTAAAACATATGTTTTCTCCTTACCCAATTCAAACCAGCCATCTGCTGTTTTGATAGCGTTGCGTACTCTTTTCCTTCAACAGGATCCAAGCTCGAAACGGTTGCATTCGTTGAACATCCAGCAGTAGCCATTGGCGAGCTTGTTTTCTGCATCGAACAGCCTACCATTTCCAGTTCACCCATCGAAGCCACAAATGGTGCGTACTTATAGTTCACAGGGTACTTTCCTCCTTTTGTCGCCCACTCTGAAGCGTCCCATATGGTGGCATACAGCGACATTGGCTTGGATGGGTACACAGATGAAACAGCTTGATTGTGGATCACCTCTCTTACAGGTATATTGTCTACTAGAAACCTGGAAAGATTACAGAAAGTTTATCAGTTAAGATTTCATGAACTTGATGACTAGTGCGTAAATCAGTAAATGGAGGTTGTAACTAACAAGGGTTAAAGTTTTTGGAGAGCTTACACAATGTGGTGATTGTTCCAAAGGATGGTGTATTGATGAAACTGCTGAGTGGGATCAAACCAGAGGTAAACCTTTTCTTCTCTTCCGGTTTTGACACTTCCATTGCCATACATATTTGTTTGGAGAACCCATTGCCTTCTTTTCTCATGGCCAAGTAATTCAAAGTCTATCTCATCATGGTTATGTGGAAATACATCTGCATTAGACATCTGAAAATGCATGCCACAAAAATCAAATCAGACCATCTTTATAAGACAGAAATAAGTACTAGTAAGAAACTAAGAATAATAAAACTTACATAGAAAGCGAGTACTACCCCTGAAGTAAACCCCATTGGCAGCTTTATTGCAGCACTAAAGAATCCATGGTAGTATGTGTTCTTTGAAACCAATCCAGAACCTATATACAACACGAAAGGAATCAAGAAAACAAGAATACATCCACACACACACAAATATTGTATAGATTGATACTTTTTTGTCAGAAACAGCTTAATTCAAAACTAGTTTAGAGTGTTTACCTGAGGTTTTGTCTAAAATGATATCAGCATATGATCCGTTGCCTTTCAGATGAATATTTGATGATCCAAACAAAGTTGACATCCCTTGGGTGATGGGTATACGAGGGAAACGGTTTGTTAATTGCTCAACTGATGGTGGCCGATAAACTGGACCTCGAGAAGAAACGGATGAGAGTAAACCGATAAAAATAACATGACAAAAAAGGAGAAAATATGCCATGAAACTTTGTATGGATAGTGGATAGAAGAGGATTAAGATTTAAGATTATTGTGTGTGTATTTATGGAGGGTGAATTAGATTTATTTATAGTGGAATTATGCAATTTGCAAGTTGCTTGGCTGTTGCAAAGCTGGATGTATCTTTGTGAAGATAGTGACAAAACATAAACGATTCCTAATTGATTCATGTCGGATGATTGGGGATCGCTTTTAGTTGTTTTGTTGGATTTGGTTTAGAATGCACCGGTTTATGATGAATGTTCAAGTTCAATTCTATGATGAGATGGTAGGTGATTTGGAGAGGTTATAAAAAGGGTAGGTGGGAGGGTCCATACGAACTAACGTAACCGATCAATACAATTGTAGACAAGCGTCAGCTTCATATATTTTTGTTTTTCTTTTTAATTTTATATACATTTTTTTAAGGTATATTGGGTTTAAAAAAAAAAATTATACTGTAGTACTAGTAATCTAAGTTATAAAAAGTTTTAACTTTATGCGATCCGTTGGAACAAAGCCGAGACATTTTTTTAGGGAAAATATACTGTAGGCACATTAAAGTTAAGGTAATTTTCTAATTTGGTCATTAAAGTTTTAAATTTTTTTGTGCAATAGACTATTAAACTCACGTTTTACCTGTCAAATAAGCCATTTGCTTCGATTTTATACAGCTTCCCAGTTGACATTGTCTACGTATCAATTAAAATAATTAAAATATATTTTTCTGCTGATCCGATAACACCTAAGACATGTCATGTCAATAAATGAAATACGATACTTAAAACTCATCCTCTTCACCTGCCGACCTCCATTCTTCATTTTTCACTGTAAACGAACCTCCCGAGCTAGGGTTTTGAAGCAATTTTGTGATTGAGCTGAAGAATCAAAGAAGTTGCTGCAATGGCACCATCGGACCCTAATGGACTGTTCTCGATGGTGGAACTCAACCATCAAGGGGTATTTACTCGTAACCCTTTCTCTTACACTGGCGGTGTGAAAACCATGTTCAATGATGTTGATTTTTCTGCTATGACATATGTTCTAAGTGTTTGACCTTATTTGAACATTTCATGCATGAAGAATGTAAAAAGATGTACTACCGTGAACCAGGTCTTTCCTTGATGGATGTGCTTAATCCCATTTCAGATGATGTGGAATATGTTGCTTTTATTTTGATGCTTGTGGAACAGATGGTATAATTTCTATTTATGTGTATTATATTGGGGTTGGTGTCGATGGGTGGTTTGATGAAGAAGATAATGAAGATGAGGAACGTGAGTCTTGTACATATGGTGAAAATGAAGATAACATAGATGATCTTAGGAATGTGGATGTGGAATTCAGTGAGGATGAAGTGAATATGAACATGACATCTAATGATCATTTCTTGAGTAAGTTGTGTGTTGATGTGGAGGAGGACAACATTGTAGATGATGATGATGGGAGAGAAATTGAACCTAACATCTAGGTTCATTATATTTTTAATGAGTTAATTCACTGGAAAAAAACAAAAACCCATTCTTTGAATGAGATTTAAGGATTTAAGGCAAGTAAAATCAATGTTGTGGCTAATGGATATCAATTGTGTTTTGAAAAGAATGGTTGAAAAAGACTTCTAGTGAGGTGTAGTAAGGGTGCTCTCACATTTAGATTATGGGCTTCTTTGTAACACCCAGTTACAAGTAAACATTGCTTTCGAGTTATCAATTAAATTTCAAGGATTTAAACCTTGGTCATGATGTGAGCACTTGTGTATCACGACGTGACCGTGCCCAAGGAAACGTGCATCCTATTTAATTGTCACGACGTGACAACCCCTGCATGCCAAAACCCTAATTTTGGGGATTATCCCTCTATCACCTCCCTTCACCCTCCAAAAACCCTAATCTTCCATTATTGATCTTTGAGCTCCATTTTTTGGTGATTTGAAGCCTTGAAGAGGAAGAGAAGGTATTTGGTGCATCATTTCAGCTTGTTAGCCGCTCTCTCATCATCTTGCGTAGCATTAGGACTCTTATAAGTCCTCAAGTCCCTTCCTTTTTAGCTCAAGCTTATTAGATCTAGTGTTTGGTACACCTTTCTCATCATTTATGGAGGCTTGAGTGTTGGGATCTCATAAAGTTGGCAACTTTATGAGTTCTCAAGACTCATTTGATACCATTTATCCCAGATCTAGAATATTAGTGAGTTTTATGTTTTTTCATGGGATTTGATCTCATTTTCCCTTCATTTTGACCTAGTTTGTGTTTGGGACATGCATGTCTAAAAAGCTACGAATTTTATGGTATTTTAAGATGGAGAAAGCTTTCTGGAAGGTTTGTTTGCATGGCTTAAAGGATTACGAGCTTAAGGCATTAATCTATCCAGAACGTTCCTCACGATGTCACACTTTGATCGTCACGATGTGACGAGGGTCTGATCTGCGATTATTTTGTCTTCATTATGCCACGACGTGGCGACCGGATGAATGACCTTTGGAGAGTTGACTTTAACTTGACCTTTTACTTTTTGACTAAGTTTAACTTTAGGTCAAACTTAGGGTTTTGGGTTGTAGTTTGATGTTTGGTCCCTGTTTGCTGTATAGGTGACATGTAGAGTTGGTTATCGGATCTGTGATCAGCACTGTTATCTTCTAGACTGTGAGTTTTCTCATTAAACTTTGTACTAAGGTATGTGTAACGCCCGTGTTTCTAGGCTAGGCATTAATATTGACATAATAGTCTAGGTTAACCTTTGAAACTTATTTTGAAGAAATGAAAATGAATTATGTAAATATTATGTGTTTTATGTTTAATTATTAGGGTTTAATTAATTAAGAATAAAAATGAGCGTCAAAAATAAATATTAGATAAAGCTGATATCTATTAAGAAACTTGTAGTGGGCGTGACAAGGATTACGGATATATAAAGAATACCGAAATCCGAGTTATAACGAAGAAGTAATGACCTGTCGAAGTTTCACGACAAAACCGACACGGTGCCGAATGACGTAAAAAGTGAGTTTTTGATAAACTACTTTTTAGCCTTAGTGATCTAAATGAAAGTCGTAGTGTTCGTTAAACCGTGAGTAGGTATAAAAAGAACGCCCAAATCTGACTTCGTATGAGGAAGTTATGATTTTTCGAAGTTTCGGCTTAGCAGTAGACAGCTAAAAACTCGAATTTTAGATCGAGTGATTTTTAGCCGACACGACCTAAACGAGAATCGAAGGTCTCATAAATAGTAGTACAACGGTAAAAAGACAGACGAAAACGGACGTCGGATGAAGAAGTTATGAATTTTTAACGGATTTCCTGTCCCGGTCTGTTAAAAATAATAATATAAAAATTAAAGTCAAAACTAGCCGACGAAGTCTAAACGAAAGTTGTAGAGCGTAATTTTCCCTACACGTGCATATAAAGAACGCCAAAAACAGAGCTCGTATGCGAAAGTTATGGATTTTACAAGATTGGGCACAGTTTTCGAGAATTTTCGCATGAATAGTGCCAGCCACGTCACCCTCGCTCCGAGCTACCCACGTATCCGAAGCAGCTGCGTCATCCGAGTCGTGGCGCGTCCGAGGAGCGACGCGTTTCGCACAGGTGTCCGATCTGATGCGTCATCCGAAGCCAGCTGCCAACGGGTGTCAGCTGCTGATTCGACCGAAGGTGCGACCCAGTAAGAAGACGACACGCCTCGCATCGGTGGCAGGTCCGAAGCGAGCAACGTGCCTCGCCTTCGCATCCGACGCGTGTAGCCTTCGCAAGTCCGACGCGTGTTCCTCCTTACCTTCGGCCGAAGTCTTCTCGCAGCCTATAAATAGGAGGGTGCGAACCCTCCCGGCTAATGTTGGAAATTCTCACATTTTTACACCCTAAACCCATTTTTAACCTATTTCAACTTCCCCCAAAGCCCCGGGATTAATTCCAACGCCCGGAACACGCCCCGAAGTGCCCGAAGACCCGGAAAATTTATCTTTTCGGTTTTGAAGCCCGACCCTCGCAGAGCCCGGTTTCTCAATAAGACTCCCGGTTTTATTAGAAACGATCGTTTTAGGAAACGAAGTGCTGCCAAATTATTGTTAAATCATGTGAGTGTGTAGTTACTTTCACCTTACACATAGATATGAAGTATTTTATACAAAATACGTGCTGTGTGAATATATATTGTTTGTTTATTTGAGATGGATGTTGAAGGAATGATTTATACAGGTTTTTAAATAATTTAAACTGTATATATGTATTTTTATCTACAAAAATGTTGGGTAAAACATGGGTAGATGAAATAATGGGTGTGTGATGAAAAGGTGAGTTGGATAAATGAGATGATCAGTGATATAGATCATGAGTTGAGAGTGAGTGGTGAAATATGAGAGAATCACTTACCCAAACGTGGCCCCCGTCATTCAGCAGAGTATGGATGACAACCATGTACTATTCTAGATGATCTGTGGAACACTAGCAGGCCCGCAACCTGTAAGTGTGTGAACTATATGTTCATCAGCTGTACTCTAAAAACCCATTGACATGTATTGCGCGGGGGGGGGGGATTCCCGTGGGAAATACTGTCGATAAATAAGAGCTATGGACTTAGCACTTGGCGACGATGTGACTTCGTGCCTATTTGACATAAATTGCTGAGGGAAAGCAATGTTGTCACCCCGATGTTTGTCTTATTTGACATAAATTGCTGAGGAAAGCAATGTTTTCACCTTATTGGTTGTTTTATGTTAGGTTGTTTTGTTTGACATAAATTGCTGAGGAAAGCAATGTTGTCACCTCGATGTTTGTCTTATTTGACATAAATTGCTGAGGAAAGCAATGTTGTCACCTTATTGGTTGTGTTATGTTAGGTTGTTTTGTTTGACATAAATTGCTGAGGAAAGCAGTGTTGTCAACCCCGATGGTTTCCGTATTTGACATAAATTGCTGAGGAACCCCCGAAGCAATGTTGTCACCCCTAGTGAAAATCCTTAGGCTAGGTCCCTTGTGATAGTTGTTTTAGGGACGTAAAGTGAGGATAATGAGAATGGGTAATTAGGGTTATTTTTGGTTGATGAAATTAATAAATTT